CTCTCTCTCTCTCTCTCTCTCTCTCCTCCTGTTTCTCATGATAATTTAACAATTTCCATTAATTTAATTAATTGGATTTTTTTGGAATATTTAGAGATCAAAAGATTTAAAATTAAATATCCATTATTAAAATTCCTGGAAGAGAAGTAAATACTAAATGATTTCATTTAGTATTATTTTTGAAAGATTAAGAAGATACAATAGCTAGATTTTCCCAGACATTTGGAATTTAAATGATTTGAAATTAAATATTTATTACTTCAATTCTTGAAAATATTCATAGTCAAATAAAATACGGTATGATTCATTTGAGCATTTTCTTGAAAAGTTTGGAAGATACATTACACATTCGGATTTTTCCAGAAATTAAAAATTAAAAATGATTTCAAATTAAATATTCATTATTCTAACTCTTGAAAGTACTCGAAATCAAATCAAATCAAGTCAACTACCATATGATTGATTGAGTAATAATTTGAAAGAATAAACATACAAAGGTGATATAATCTGTTGATTTTATTTCACTGAAAAATTTTCAAAAATTCAATTTTCAATTTCAGCTCTTCACCCTATCCTTTTTATCCTTAATGTCCCCTCAAAAAAAGAAAAAAAAAAACAGAAGAAAACAAGGCGACTTTATCGTTCATCAAATTTTTCACAACCATTTTTTTTTTTTCGCCTCTTTTTTTCACCTTTACTTTTTCATATCATTTAATCATTATCATTGAACGTGAATGATTTTATTTCATTTCATTGTCATCAATTCCGTTCATCCTACACTTTTTTCCCTTTTCCGGTTTTTGTCCTTATATCATACCATCTTATCATCCTAATCGATCGTTATTTTTATGCAAATTTATCGCTACAAAACATTCTATCCATCATCTATATATTAGCAATAAGAATATTTTAGTAGTTGGGAAATTATCAAAAAACTTTTGTCATTTTTTAAAAATCCAAAAGATAATGATGACCTTCGTCGCATTTTAATTTAACCTTTCTCTTTCTTTCTTTCTTTTTTCTCGCCCTTTCTCTCTATCTTTTCCTCTCTTCTCCTCTTTCTTGATCATGTTTCATATTACAAGTTTGAAGCGATTAAAAAATTAGATAAAATAATTGTAAATTGATGTTTGCAATGAATAAAAAAATTTTTTCAGATGAAAATTCGATAAAAAAAAATTTTTTTCAATTAAAATTTTGAAAATGAAAAAGAAAAGAACAATGAAATATTAGAAAAATTTGCTGGTTTGTTCTACATTAAAATTTATGCTACGAAGGAATAAGTATTCTTTATTTGAATTAATTAATTAATATATTATAATTTCATTATTATTATTGTTATTATTATTATCATTGTTATTATTATTATCATTGTTA